ACATGACATTCACATCTTAGATATCCTAATGATCTATGTCCCCTTTAATTTAATAGCTAATTTTGTAAATGTGTCGCGTTCCATATCAGATTTATGTAATTTTCTTTCTTTTTCATGTATGAAAAAAAAAATCATCTTTATTAATTTAATAGTCGAATAATCCATTTAATTCCGACCAAACTTGCAACCCATCTACTTTAATTTAATTTATTCCTCTTTAATTCCAAACCATAGCTGTGAAATGGGAATGCAACACCAAATTAAAGGTAGGATCCTATATGGGCCTTGAGAGCATTTGGATTTTGGAGTGCATTCGCATATTGTAAGCAATAAAGCTGACTTTGTCAGGGTTAAGTTGGTCCTTTCAAGCAGAGATGAGACAGAATTGAAACAACAACAGCCAATGGTTTCTATTTTCTAAGATTCCTTAATTTAAACACAACACCCTACACCACCAAATTAGATGCTGGCCGGTTTCGAATGTTCCATCATTGGATCTCAATGTTTTTAACAAGTAAAAAATAATTAATCTTTAAAAAAAAATACGTTTACACTCATTCAATAATATAATGACAGATAAGATAAATTGCATTAACCTTTTTTTTTTTTTTTAAAGTAAGTTTACACTCAAATTAACAAATTCTATACTTATTATATACTTGTAAATGATTCTCGACCTTTGCGGGATAAATTATAAATATATAAGCACACTTAACAAATGAATACTTGTAGTTACTCATATTCAACTTACCTATTTGATATGATTACCTAGCCTATTCATAAAGTACTAAACTATAGCACTCTAGGTATAAAACCCAACGAATTATATTGCTAATATATACTCTTTTTTGTCGTAAAAAAATTACATGTGAAAGACTTTATAGTTTTTATTACTCTTGGAGTATGTGTTTCTATAATTTGTTCTAACTTCTAGCTAGCGCACTGTTAGAAGAAGAAAAAAAAAAATCATATTCTTCTTATATTTTGACTTTAAAATCAAATCGAAATATATATTTGATTTGATAAAAGACTAAATTAAGATACTTGATTTATTTTCAAAAAAAAAAAAAAGATACTTGATTTGGTTTTGATTTGAGACATCCAAAACCAAATCTAATCCTTGAATTGAATTGTCTCCTCATATAATATATGCATGCTTGGAGGTTGTATTTTCCAGGATTTAGTTGCTACTTTTATAAGAGGAAAGGTTGGCCAGATATACAATGCAGCAGCCAATGGTTTGATACCATTCCTCAACTTAATCCACACACCGCCAACTTAATTAGACGATACTGCTTTCAAATGCTTCATCACATCATTGGTAATATAATGAATGCTTTGCTTTTCCCATACATTTTTTTTTATTAACACCACTATCCGACAGTGTGCGAAAAGTTTGACAAAAAAGGTGTTAGCAAATAATCGAACTCATGACATGTAGGTATGTACGAAAATCATGTTCCACCCACTTGGTCATACATTTCAGGACTTGCCATACATTTTTTTTTTTTGGGTGACGAGAAAAACTTACAACCACTACTTCAGGGTGTGCAGTAAATAATCCCGCCTTATAACATGAGCAAAATATTCAAAAAAGGCACTTAAAATTTTGGAAATCTATAATAGTTATAGTTGTATAAGTGAGTAGGGTTAATTATGAAGAATTTGATCGATCACATGGTTGCATGATATAAAGTTTGTACTTGGTCTATGGTGTGTAGTAGGGTTTGAAATGGTTGAATTGGTTGCAGTAATGGGTAGAAATGAAAATAGTAATGTCGGGCCATCCAATCTGAGCTACTACCACCTTGGCAACTGGCAAGTGGGGTGAACTGCCTCAGCCTGTCCCTCGTATAGTATCCTGTATGTATAATTTTATGCCCGACTAGACACCACATACAGCATCTATACAGACAAGTACAATTCCGACATCATGCGACCACGTGTATATTGTTTCACAAACCATGCAACTAACATACTTATATATATACCGCGGAATTACTTTTTTTTTTTTTTTTTTTGCACGACATAAACGTTGTCAATTTATGCCATCTCGTAATTACATTTTATATAATTTAATTATGTGTATACGTAATTTTACTTTATTTATCATCTTATTCAATTTTTTTTACAGAATATAGACTCGAACCTATCACCCACTTAGGGGAGCAATAAGATACCATTGGACTACAAGGTCCTTAATCATAATGTACATTATTATTCTAACTTATAAATTACATTATCTTATCTCAGAAGTTTTATTATTTTTAACACATAATGTACATTATTCTAACACATAAAGCACATTATTCTAATATATATGTATATTATTTTAATACATAATGTAGATTATTTTAACTCATAAAATTCAATGACGTTGTTTTGAAGTGTGGTCCACGCAGGGATGGGTTGGTATCTACAAGCCCATTGAATACATACGCAATGAGCCCACTAACATAGGCTCACTGTATACGACATAAGTAATAGATTGGGCCGAATTGATAAATGTTTGTTGGGCCATACGGAGTTGGACTTTGTATTTTTCAACACAAACAAAGAAAACCAATATAATGTCACATTCCTCTTTTGAAACAGCATGCTTTGCCTAAATTCAATCTACCATATTGTGATTTACATAATTTTCTTTTTTAAAAAGACCCAAAAATTATATCGTGGATCAGAATTTAATATACATATTGTGGACATTAATTTAAATAATGTACATGTAATTAACATATTATATACCAGATGGATAGTTCAGTTTCGAAAGTGATAATTGAATGCATGGAGTACGATTTTTGTAAATTTACCAAGTGCACGCCATTAAACAGTGACAGCAAATTTTCCTCGACACCTAAATAAACTGATGAACAATCCAAACTAAATTTTAGTTGTTATATAAAAACATTATTAAACACTAGTAATAAAACAGTCATCAAGAAAGTTGTCGTATTAGTTATCCCTATATGTTGCAGATGTGTGTTGTGTGTGTGGACGTTATTCTAGTAATTTGCAAATTCCTTACCCACATGTGAAGCTGCGTGATGAACGTGTACTGCCAAGACATCCTCAGATTCTACGAGTTTTAGATCCGACAAGAAGTCACGCGACACCTATATTTTCTTTTAACTTTAACCAAATACTTGACTTCTTTCCTTATTATCTTACTTTAATTTTGCTGTCCGTTCATCAAGATTTTTCACGACGCTACTATATGCTCTGTTACGTTGAATCTTCATTTCTGTTATTTTATTTTATTTTTTCATATATACTCGATCTGCAATGTAGCTATATTGTTGGCATGGATTCATGTTTTTTAACAAAAATATATTATATATGTTTTAAAGGACGCAATAAGTTTTATAGTTAGTAAAACAGTGACGAATGGTGTGGTTAGTTAGTTGAATTGCCCTCAAATTATTTATATATGGGTAGCCATGTGATGCTGAATGATTGTTATATATAAAATTGAGAAAGGATGCATGGGTTGTATACTTGTCTAATCTACACTCAATATTTAATGACCATAGTAATACAAAATGTAACCACTTTATACCAAACTTCATCGTAAAGTACTATTTTAAAACGTTTTGATTAAAAGTGAAATGTTTTTTAATATTAAGTGATGATTTTTTTAAACTAGATTTTCCACGAAACAAAATATTTAGAAGTAAAATTGATAATAAATGAAATTAAATATCGAAAAGGATGTTGGGTCGCGGGTATTTTTAGTTTTGTAATAAATAATATTAAAATAAGGTGAAAAATACAAACTTATTATGAACTATTGGCCAATGGTCACTATTAATTAATTGTTTAACTTGGTTAATTAGTCAATATAAATGTTGGATTAATTAGTTTTTTTATAGCAGCTTATTGTTCTGAAACGTTAAAATTTAAAAGACTATTCAAAATACCTTTTTCAATTAGTTATTGGTCTTTTTACATATGAAAATGATTATATTTCCTCTCATTTTCACCTCCTAACATCCCTCCTTGATATTACTAAGTTCTTCCAAAAGGCTGAACCCCAACCCTAAGGGGCCCTCACACCCCGACCCGACAGAGCATTTGGGAGGATATAAATCATGGTAACTCAACTGAACATAAACCACAAAGGCTAGACCGTGCTCACTGCACACAAGAAACCCCCTCACTTTGAGAGGTTGCTCCCACACTGCTGCTGGTGAAAGGTTCACTAAATTAATAAATAAAATTGAATAGTCAAACCATTTTTATTGGTAAGATGTACTTCCGCATGATCATGAGGTGAAAACTGAAAAAATGGAGCGAGGCAGCCTAGCATGATTCTTTTATATAATTAATGCATGTCATTTTTGGGAGCCAGCAGATAGGATTGAAGAAATGCATTGAATTCAAAAGGAGATAGCTGGTATGAGAGGATTAATGTAAATGACCCATTAAACAAGTTGGGACCAAAAGCGAATGATGGTAACCTTTCAACAAGTTTGGTTATGCACTTATGATACATTTGTACCATTTTATTCATCAAAAAAAAAAAGCATAATAAATAATGCACAATAGTTTAACTTAAATGAAAAGATTTAAATTTCCTTTAATTAATATTTCATATTCGAATCTTGTGAACAAAGTTTTAAATATTTAAAACACTTTTTCATGTTAGATTTGATAGTAAATTGAATTCGGAGTAGTTATATAAGATGAAAAACCAACAAAAATGATCGGTGCATGCAACCAAATCAAATATAAAATAAATATTGGGTATATTATATACCAAAAAGTATAGTAATTATGTACCAAAAAGTATAGTAATGTATTTAGTTTAAAGTTTAAACAAATGAACATTTCTACGAGTAAGATATAATTTGTGCAATTTCTGTAATACCAAACGCGACCTAAGCGTCCCATGTTGTCATCATCGTAATGTTATTTAAGGAAAGATAGAGTGTGAGAGGAAGAAGAGAACTGTCATCTTTAAGCTAAAATTTCAGGGGAAGACGACAGAGCTCAAATTCTAGATGGACCGTCACTGCTCAAACTACGCCGTCGTATTGTTTGTAATTCTGGTTTCCCTGAATATCCTCAACCCGGCAGCCGACGGGAGAGAGCTCCGGCCGTCGGAGCACGGCTTGGGGAATCAGGACTCATCCTCGGGCAACAAGTCGGAGATTCTCACCTTCTTCGGTGGTTCGCCGGAGTCTTCGGAGCTGCCGGAGGCGAGGAATTTTACGGCCTCTTTGTGGAACGGCGTCGGCGGCGGTGGCGGCAGAAGTATTGGAGGGAGTTCACGTGAGGGGAAGAAGGATGACGCGATAAGAGAGGTGCTGTTTGTGGCCAGCATGGTGTGTGGACTAACCGGCGTCGTTTTGGTCGTCGCCTCCGCGTTCCTTCTCGTTTTCCGGCTCCGGAAACGGAAAAGCGAGACGACGTCGTTGTCAGAAGCTAACGTCGCCCAGAAGTAACTGGATGTGTACCGCGTATACAGTAGTGCGTTCCATCCAAATTCCAAAAGCAAAAAAGTGGATATCTCTCATCTTTTTCTTTTTATTCCCATTTTTGTTATTATTACTTTCTTAACTTGTAAGTTTTAACCCTCATATTATCCATGTACATTGATGATATTTGGTTTAATATTATCTTCACTTTTCCATTTGCATGCTTAGTTACATATTATATATATATAAGCATCGAAATTAAGACTTGAAGGAAATTAAAATTTTTACTGTAATAAGTGAGCAGTCAGTACTACCAGTAATCCCCACAAGAACATAAACCTTGTTTAAAATGGTGGAATCTATTTGAATCCCTGACAACAATTTCCCTCCCTTCTATCTTGGATATTAGCTTAATCACAGTATGACAGTCACCACAAACTCTGAGATTCTTCACAATCTGGATAGGAACACCTGGAGATGTGGCGATTAATCCGAAAGCAATGGCCAATCTTTCACTGTGCTGAGAAAGAATGGCTTCTTTATGTTCATCTTCTACATCATGAAGTACATAGGTTGTGTCTGGTTGGTATCCAGATTCCCTTAATCTGAAGCTCAGTTCTTCCAGTTTCATATAGATATTGTTGGATAAGGGATGAGAGATATCGCCAGCTATGAATGTGTGGGTCTGGTTCTTGATCTCAATCCAACTATATCCTGTTTCTTTCTTAACTTTTTTCTCTTCCATAAGCTTTCTTACCTTCTCTCTTTCTTGCCAGCTCCCATCAGCAGCGTATAGATTCGAGAGCAGGACGTATGCTGCAGAGTCGTGAGGTTGAAGTGATATTAGTTTTTCGGCTGCAAGTTTCCCTATCTCCACGTTTCGATGAACTCTGCATGCTCCCAACACCGTACGCCATATAGTTGCACCAGCGGGAAAGGGCATCGCGTTGATAAGATCCATCGCTTTTTCCAGCTTTCCAGCTCTGCTGTACAGATCCACCATGCATGAGTAGATTTCCATTGATGGAGGAATGTGCAGATCGTTCACCATCGTGTCGAAATGCTTTTGGCCTTCGTTAACGAGCCCTGTATGAGTACAAGCAGAGATGACACCGATAAATGTTATGACATCCATTTCCATGTTCCTCTTCTGCATCTCCTCGAATATCTGCAATGCTTTCGGGGCATATCCGTGCTGTGCATATCCTGATATCATGGAGTTCCACGAAACCAAGTCTCGTTCCTTCTGTCTCTTGAAAACCTCGTACGCACTTTCTATGTTCCCTCGCTTAGCATACATGGTTACGAGGGCACTGCTTACACAGAGAGCGTTATTGTATCCAAATTTAATTGAAGATGCGTGGAATTGCTTTCCTTGTTCCACACCAGAAGTTGAAGTAGCACAGGCATTAATGACACTCGAGAAGGTGAACTCATTCGGGTTCACCCCATCCTTTGCTAATTGGCGGAAAACTGTTCCAGCCCCCTCACTGTCTCCGTTCTGAGCATAACCAGCTAGCATTGCAGACCAAGCAACTATGTCTTTCTCATAAATTGTTTCAAAAACTTTTGCAGCGTCGTTAATATGTCCTCCAATCTTAACATAACCATCGAGCAATGCAGTTCCTACTGTGGGCGAGCTTTCATAATTTGTCTTGATGACCTCGGCATGTAACTGGACGATAGAGATTATAGGATGAGCGGCAAGAATGGTTGAATAGGTGAAATGGTTCGGTCTGCTAATACCTTCCTTTCTCATTTCGCAAAAAAGATTTGCTGCTTTTTCTGGTCTACAATTCTGCAGGTACCCTCCAATCATTGCTGTCCAGGAGACTACATTCCTATAGCCATGCATAGTAGAGAACAATTTGAAAGCATCATCCATCTCACCACACTTGGTGTAAGACCCCATAAGTGCGGTTCTGAGATTATGATCTAATCCAAATTCACTCTTTATAACCCAAGTGTGAACCTGTCTTGCAAACTCCAATTCTTTAAGATTGGTGCATAGTTTAATAACTGCGGCATAAGTTGCCCGAGTCAGGTTCACGCGTGCAAGCCTCATCCTGCAGAACAACTCGAGAGCTTCGAAATCATGCCTGTTACTCACAAGACCAGTAATCATGGCATTCCAAGAGACTTCACTTCTAACCTCCATGTCATCGAACACGGCTTTGGCCTCTTTAACCATCCCTGACCTTGAATATACACTAATTAGGGAGTTCCCAACAAACAATGTTGAATCAAAACCACATTTGATAACCAATGCATGCACTTGAAATCCCTTCTCCAAGGCACCATCGTCATCTGCTAAAGCTCCGAGGACTGTGGCAAAGGTAAACGGGTTAGGCTTAATTCCTTCCACTTGCATCATATGAAAAGCTTGCATTGCTCCATCACTCAACCCATTGCTTGAATAACCAGCAATCAACGACGTCCATGTCACCACGTTCGTTCCCTCCATCTCATTCAACACTCTCTTCCCCTCAACGACACTACCTGTCTTCATGTACATGTCCATAAGTGATGTCCCAACACTGACATCCTCCAAAAACCCACCTTTCACACAATGGCAGTGCACTTGCTTTCCAACGTCTTGATTAAACAAGCATCCACAAGATTTCAACACGCAAGAAAGGCTGGACTCGTTTATCAAGAACCCGGAACGATGGATACCCGAAAACAGATTTAGAACCTCCACGTTCATATTGCTCCTAGAGTACTGAAAAAGCAGGGGGTTGTTGTCGTATCGGTCTCTCTCAGAAGTTTTATCAAACGGGTGGCGTGCATCTTGAAGATCGGAGATTCCATAGTCCAATGCGATGGCATGGGACTCAGAAAAATGGCGGCTTTGCAGCGGATTTTGAACATTATGCAAACGTTTCAGTCTTCTTAGAGATGATCTCAGATTCATGACGTCAATGTTCCTTTCAAAAAGATTACAATAAGTCGTTGAAAGTCCGAACCCGAAATTTGTGGAAAACTCAGGTTGTCTGATATCCGCAAACCCACAATTACTTATTTTTAGTTTTTTTTTTTAGTTAAACAATATAAGTGTATTAATTGTCCAATGACACCAAATTATTATATAAGAAAGTTGTAAGTTTAAGCTTTAATAGAGATGTTATTGATTCTTTGTGTTTCATTAACTTAAAAAAATAGTTATGAACATATACTATATTGTAATATAGTCAGTAATATTCACACATAAAAAAAAACAATAGGATATAGTGGTAACTAGTATATTTATATAGTTTGTATTAATTAAGATTAATACTTTTATCATTTATCTTTCCTGTATAATTTTTTAATTATTACACAAATATAGAATTTATTTAGTGCTTTAATAGTAGTTGTAAATTTCCTTTGTCACAGAAGTGAAGATCGGGTCGCTTGAATCTTCAGCTCCGGCTACCACTCTCCTTCTGAGCTAGGGTTTATCGGTGGCTTTTTCCGATTGCCAGAGCTGAAAATGGCGTCAATAATGGCAGCAATACGCAGGGTACGAGTATCCGGTCTTACCTCCTCTCTCAAGGTGCTAACTTCTCTTCATTTCCCCCCTTATTCTCGGCGCTCTGTCATTCCCCTTCCCGAAATTTCCCCTAAAACCCTAACCCTAAACCCCAGCCCCTACCTTTCATTCAGAGCGTTCTCCACCACGTTTGCGGCTGTTCCCAACGAGCCTTTCCCCCGCCCTCAGAATCAGGGCCATCCAGATTACAAGTATTCCAACGCCGAAGGACATAATAATAATCAAAGGTTAAAGGGCCCTAGTCCTCAAAATCAAGGCTTTGATCAGCATCCGAATTCTGGGAATGTGAACCAATGGATTAATCAAAACCAAGGCTACCCTAATCCGGGTTCTCACCGAGGAGGATATGTGAGTTCTCCACAAGGGGGTTATCAGAATCAGGGTTATACCCAAGGAGGATATCAAGATCAGGGATATGCTCATCAGAGTTCTCCCCGAGGAGAATATCAGAATATGGGATATTCTAATCAGAGTTTTCCTCAAGGAAGCTATCAATATCAGGGAAAGGCAAATCAGAGTATACATCCTCAGTACAGAGGTGAAAATCAGTGGAATAATCAGACCCAGAGTAACATGCCCCCGAAGGGAGCCCCTGTAGTTCAGGAACAATGGAATCATCACCAACCTCAGAATGTCCAGCCGGTTGGGGCATATGCTACAAATAGTTTGTCTCAGAACCAAGGGAATTTAGTGAATGATCAATCCTCTGGTGATAATATCTTGTCTACTGCTGATTTACTGCCCTTGTGCCAACAGGGTAAGGTGAAGGATGCTATTGAATTTATGGAAAAGGGGGTTGTTGCAGACATGCAATGTTTCCATTTGCTTTTTGGGTCATGTGGGAAGTCGAGGAAACTTGAGGATGCAAAAGTGGTGCATGATTACTTTTTGAGATCAAAATGTAGGAGTGATCTTGAGTTGAATAATAAGGTCATTGACATGTATTCAAACTGTTGGAGCATGATGGATGCGCGGAGAGTTTTTGATCACATGCCTGAGAGGAATATGGATACTTGGCATTTGATGATCAATGGATATGCATTGAATGGATTGGGTGATGATGGGTTGTCATTGTTTGAACAAATGAGGACGCTGGGGATACAACCCAATGGTCAAACTTTCCTGGCTGTTTTTGAGGCTTGTGCTAGTGCTGATGCAATAGATGAGGCATTCATACATTTTGAGTCCATGAAGACCGATTATGGAATTGCACCTCAGATTGAACATTATTTGGGGCTGTTAGGTGTTCTTGCAAAATGTGGGCATCTTACAGAGGCTGAGGAATTCATTGAAAAACTTCCTTTTGAGCCCACAGTTGCTGTCTGGGAGGCACTGATGAATTTTGCTCGCATTCATGGAGATATTGACCTTGAAGACCGTGCTGAGCAATTGTGGAGGGCTAGTCAGATACCTCTTGAGGATAATGTGCCTAGTAAGATTACTCCACCTCCTCCAAAGAAGCAGCCAGTCAATATGCTAGAGGGAAAAAGTAGGC